AAGTAAACTAATTCCAAAATGCTCAATCCCACACCTCCAACTCCAAATGTGCACTAATCCATCAGAGTAATGTGCAACTTTACGTAAAAGAAAGTACTCCAAAATTTCCAAAAATTTCAACTTTCATCAAATAGAGGAAGGAATCCGTACTTTAGGTTATCAAGATCGGTGCAGACCTGTAGCCACTGAGCCGGATCCCCACTAACATCACCCGCACTAAACATCGCCGCTACCACCGATGGAACCCTAGTCCGGTGCTTAATCAGCCAATCCTTCTTCAAGATCCCCGCCGTCTTCTCCGCTGACTGGCCTGAATCCAGCGGATCCTTGAACTTCTTTGATAGGATCGGGATCTTGGAGAAATCTGGAAGGGCGAGAGTGTTGATCGGCGGTTGCTCGGAGTGGCGGAGATCGTGGGGTGGAGCTCCGGGCATCCGATGAGGGAGATGAGCGACACCGGAGGGGTTCGGAGCTCTTCAGGGTAGTCCTCCATTGGAGCTAGGGTTAGGGTTTTGTGGAGATTGGAGGAGAGGGAGAGAGAGAGAGCTCAGTTGAGATCTGTCAACTGCGGGGAGTCGATCTGAGAAGAAGGAAAGGAAGGCGTAGCCCTGTTTTCGGGTTTGGATCTTGTTCGGGCCGGGTTGGGCTATTCTCTAACCGGTTACCATAAAATGGCGCACGTTTCACTGCACCCGCTAAATCTAAGGGGTTATTTGCACAAAATGACGATAAACTTCAAACGAAAATTCCCAAAAACTTTTGAGGAGTGTTACAAAACTACCCTGAGCCCCCGCGAAGTCCCACCTTTTAACTTTGGGGCAAATTATGTTATGGGTAGGGCTGGAAATAAATAAAATTGAATCTAATCTTACGTTGAAGTGTTTGTATTTGTATTCCTTTAAAAAATCCTCAAATTCAAATACGGACTCAAATATCATCCCCGTAATTCCTACTAATTTGTACACAAATGTCTTTTGAAGATTCATGAATATACGGTTGGATATTAAAGTATATTTATTTGATCAATATGTGATAGGCCACGAATATTAAAAATGTTAATTAAGAAGATATTTTTATTTGGTTAAAGAAACACTTTTATTTTTCTAAATAATTTTATCATTTGAATAGAATTAACTTAATAACAAAATGTAACCGGGTCAAACTATATCAGCATATACATGGAACATACACACTATATTGTATTAAGTTTTAAACAATTATTTGATAAATAAATGAATACATCACGTAAAATTCTTTTCGTTAATGAACTCGTCGCTAAAAATTTATTTACTCCTAAATGAACTAATCGATATAATATATGAACAATTAAGGAACTATCTATTATATCTTTGGCCCAATACCACCCCTGGTTTTGGGGTTTTCCGGGATCAGAGGATGAAGGGACAGCAAGAAACAAATAGAAATGAGGCTTATTTTATTTTTATTTTTAAAAAGAATATTAAGGGGGAGAAAAGAAAAGGAAAATCAGTACCTCTGTATTTGAACTTTTCAACGTTTAAGAAAAGTTCTTGTGAAAACTTCCTTAAGTTTTAAGGGTTCTCTAGTTCTTCAAGTTCGTGATTGTTTTCGGCAAAACATCCCCAGGTTCAAGGGGATCTTCTGAAATTTACCCAATCAAATTTGACGAGAAAAACCAACAAGGCTTTTGCATCAAACAAAATAACAAAGTCTCAATTATATTGCAATTTATATCCTTTTCTCATCTGAGTGTCAACAAAAACTGAAATATTCATAAATTTAGCAACTTAATACATAAAAATTTTGAGATTTATAAAATAAATTAGTGCAAACTTGTATCTTTTATCTTACTGACTTTGTCATCTGCATTAACCGTTGCAGTGATTGACTAGCCAAAAAGAAAAAAGTCCTGGATTAGTGCTAAATTGACACTGAAATAAACCAAAGAGAACCGTCACATCGTGGATATCGTCAACAATTAAGATAACGTAATTTCAAATCAACAAACGACCCAAAGTACTTTTCAGCGTTGGTAGACAACCTCATATTAGAGAGGCACTACAGGTACAGACACACCCTCAGTCACACTCCCTCTCTTGCTACAGTACACTGTCACACTCCCTCTCTTGCTACAGTACACTGAGCCCCCCATGAGATTTTTTGAGTCTCTCTTACTACAGTGCACTGGGCCTCACATGAGATTTTTTTTCAGTGCACTGTAGTAAGAGAAGGAGTGTGACCGAGGTTGTGTCTGGGAGCGTGCCTGTATTATTTTCCCCTCATATTAATAGACAAACAAAAATGGTAAAACTGGCCACTTGAAATTGGATCAGGTATATTTCAGCAGCCAGACGGGAATACCTTGAAATAGGATTTAGAAAGAAAAAAACTCTACTAATAACAATCAGTAATCCATAAATCTCGTTGAGGCCAATGTCTCCGATGTCAAAATAACATCACAAATAACCAACAACAAACCTTTTCGAGGAAATCATACAGTTTCGGATCATCATGACACAACTTTAGTCTAACCTTATAAAATGATTACCCAAACATTTGCAATTAATAGAATTTTGTTCCCAAACTCCAACGGCTTACAGTTATATCAATGGCGTCTTCAGGAAGCTGGAATGGTGGCAGTTTTGGTGTTGCCATCAGCCACGGTGGTTGATGGAGCAGTGAATGAGAGTGGATTGTAGACTTTGGCCTTTCGAAGGATCTCGGCAACAACCCAGTTCTTCCGCTTGCTCAATGGCCTTGAAGGATCCAGCCGAACCTGCAGAAAAAGGATCAGATAAGCGAGCCAACATAAGCATGCATGATTATGTCATGAAGCTGACAATCACTAGCAGCGATGGATCCGAGTATTTTGACTGAAGAAGGCAGTCATTAAATATAAGTAAACTAAAATTAGGAAAATGACATCCAAAGCTCTGGTAGTTGCCAATGGTGGAAAGTTGATTTAGAGTGGAACACAATGGGATGACTTTACGCTTCTGAAGCTACGGGAGCTTTCAAACAAGCTATAAACGATATAAGGAAGGTAGAGATATTCTAAAATCAGGGGGGAAAAACAAAAAATCAAGATAATTGGTGGAAAGATTAGCAAGTAAATGAAGAACTTCTTCCTGGGTTCCATCCCAGGCCACTTGTCTCCATTTTTGTCGTCCAAAGGAAAGGCAGAAGCCTTGCTGGTTTTTCTCAAAAGTCTGCATGTAGGTATCACAAAAGTTCTTTCTGGGTTGCCAGTCATTCAACTTAAGTCTAAAGGGCTTCACCTCCGAGAGCTCATCTATTTTAGGAAATAAAAGTGCAGGGACCAATAGTCCACCATTTAAAACTGATTGATTGCCTGGATAAGTCTGGCATGAATACCTTGTCCTGAGGTACTAGGGGAAATACATTCTTTCTTTAGTCACTTTGTCTTTGAATCCATCTAGGTTGTCTTTCTCTAAACTTCGTTACTAATTTATCTCTCTTTTTTGTTTCCTCGTTTTATTCAAGCCCACCGTTGCAAATATTACTTCTCGGCAAACTCGTAACCAACTCAAACGGTTAACCTCAGGCTGGGAGCAGTTTATTTGATTTCTTTACCATAAACCTTCTCCATCAGACCAGCACTGCAACTGACATGATTTTGATTAGGAAAGGTCAGGAGTATGAGATTACATATTCCTACCTCTTATCTTCTTTCCTTGATTCACTAGACTTATCCTTATGTATCCATTATTCAGAAATATGCATCAATTTTCATTATTCCAGCTGTTTGAAACCCCAACCCATGAATACCGGTGAAGAATGAAATGTGATTCAGATTTCAATAGTGAATGAAATGTCAAGATAGAAATGAAACAACATTGCTAGGAAGTGCTAGGTGTTGGTCCTCTCTTTATTTGTCACTTCCACAACTCTCTGCGGCACCATTATCTTACACTTTCATAAGACCTTGAGACCTAGGAATACTATAACAGCAGAACCATGCTCAACTAGATGCTTGTACAGACATTCAGTGAGTTTGCTAACCAAATAGGTGTCAAGTTATCTTGACAATAAGTCTTCGCTCTATGAACATAACCATACATTTCCAGAATGTGGGGCAAATTCATAAGCTGAGATCCAACTCGTAATTTTTTTCTCTGAAAAAGAATATAGCTGTTGTAGTTATTGTATCACCTGACTGGATAAAAGAAAAAAGATGTTTTCCTAGAAACCACCTTAAAATAGGATAATTCTACAGGAACCACCTTTGAATTTCAATTTATACACAAACCACCTTTAAAGTGGGTCTTTGTTGCAATCAACCACTCTCAGTCTTTTTTTTTTTTTTTTGCTAAAAACACAAAATACCATTAGAAAACTCACAATCAAGGCACCCAACTCATTTTGTTAATGTTTAGATCTTGTTAGGATACAAGTCGCGTACCTTGACCATGAATTTTTTAAGGTTATTTTTTATTTTTGATTGAAAGTTTGACTAGGAAGTATTTGATTGCAACACAAACCCGCTTTAAAGGTCGTTTACATATAAATTGAAATTAAAAGGTGGTTCATGTAGAATTACCCTAGTTTTAAGGTGGTTTCTATGAAAAAACCCAACGAAAAGTATATCAACTGATTACTGATTCTTTCATTTACCCCCGTGTGTCAAACTCGTTATTATTGTGGGTTTGACTATCGGTTGACTCGAAGAATTTGTCTTCAAGGACAGACATGGCTTTCCTGTTCCTATGTACCTCACATATTATCTCAAGTAAACTACTCCTTGGTGGTGGTTGTCGTTAATTCTCAATAATGTTATATATATAAAAAAAAAGTAAGTCCCTTTTGGTACTCGGTGAAATAAATTGTTACATGTAGAAATATAGGGGGGATCTAATTAGCCTCTAGGGTCGCCGCCATTCCCTTTCTTGTTTCAAGTGTTCTTGGCTGGAAAATCTGAGCTAAGAGAGGGTTGACAACATGTAATTGGCAGCTAGTAGTGAATCTATTTAAACTATTTCATACAGCATTGCAGCTTAGGCGAACCCATTTCAAGGTGAAAGAGACGAAATACACCGGGAAACATAAAAGCACATGAAATGAACAACATCACAAAAACCGAAACCCCGTTAAACCCGACTTCAGCACAAAAGAACTCCGTCTGTGGACTCGCTGGACATAACTTGATTAAAAATGAACTGCCACATTTCACAAAAGAGAAATTTAACTCATATATCATGCAAAAGGTACCGTTAGAATACCTGCGTTTTTAGAATTTAAAGAATCGCAAATTGTAATCGATTTTTTCGTTCCGTGCACTCGGGTACTGTAGCATGTCAATAGATACAACTACACAGAAGATCTCGTTGTGAATCATAAACTTTATTAGATAACCTTACGAACAAAAGCAAGAAATCACAAAAAAAAAAAAGTTGTTTCGAATTCAAATCCAGTTAAAAAGCTAAATTCCCGATCTTTGCGTAGACATTAGAGCATAGAACTCGGCCTGATTCAATTCAATTTAGAAAATGCGAAGAAAATTACTCGATCGCCGATGTTGCACTCGTTGGTCTCGTCGTGGGCCATGAACTTGCTGGTCCTCTTGACGTATCGATTGTAGGTTTTGTGGTGAAAGAGGCGGTCCACTGCGACCACTACAGACTTCTGCATCTTGTTCGATACCACCATTCCCACTACTGGCTTCATCTTGGAGACCGATCTCTCTCTCTCTCAGTCGACCTAAAATCTCGCAGGAATTTGGGATGTTTTTAGGGATTTTAGGGTTTGGGGGAAAGGGACGAAGCGGTGGCATTTCGGGTGATGGGTACGGATGTGGAGCATACCCGACTCCCACCAGTGGACTAGTGGAGTATTTATTGGGTTTTGGATCTGAAAACTGTACCCGGAAGCCCTAGGGAACCGTGATGTTTTCCTCTGTGCCCGTTTTGCTTTTGCCTAAGGGTCTGTTTGTTTCGACCATAAAATGCAGAAAATGAAGGAAAATGACCTTTGAGAAAACTGACGCGGGTTGAATTTGTTACTTCCCCTCACAATCGGATGTTTACTTCGTAAAAAAGAAAAAAGAAAGTGAAGAAAAGAGCGGGCAATCTAACAGTTTTTTCTCACAACCATTTTCCGCTCAAAAACCGCTGATTACAGCGGAAAACTCCTCTTTTCTCTCTCCCGTACAAAAATCGCCGATTGCTCTTCCCCTTCCATTCTCGTTCTGGTTATCCCTCTCTCCTGCTCCCGCCCCTCTCTCCCGTTCCCGCCCTTCTCTCCCTCCCGCCCGAATTAACCAAGAATTTCCTCCTCCTCCTTCCCTCCCGCCTTCCAATCTAGGGCTCAGCCTATTCTCCCGCTGCGGCCTCCCGTCCACCCACTCCCTCTTCGGCGTCGACATCGCTGTCCTCGCCGACGACGCCCTGCTCCCCCTTGCCCTCCACCACCAGACCTCCTACCCCCGAGTCGTCCACCTTTTGGGTCTGTTTGGATCGCATTTGCGCTGTCTGACACCGATTGAAACCCTAGCCTTCGAACAAAAGGGAAAACACGACAAGATCTTGGTTGATTTATGGAGGTACAATGCTAAAAATCAATTCTTTTGTATTTATTTAATTTTTTATGGCTTTCATTTATCGATTTCCTTCTTCCTTTGACGTCAGGTTTAAAATTTGTCTAAGTTTGGGTATTTTGACCACCATTTCCCACTACGATTTGCAAAACGACTTCAAATCTGTAGTTGTTGCTTGGCAGGTGTAGATATTGGAGATTATCTACTACGGTTCTCTGCTTTCTGCCACTAGGAAGGTAAAAATTTTTACTGGTGATTATTCTGTGTATTTTTCCAGTCTGCATGTCATGTATTGGAGGATCTATTTTAGTTTATATAATTTTATTTGGTTGTTTTTTGAGATTTTGGTATGCAGACATCTATTTATTATTTGAAAATTTTGATTGTAGAAATTATTATTAGCTTATCTAACTAGTCTTAATTTGATATGTATAATCCTTGCAACTTATATCTCATAGAAATTATTAATAGTATGAGCTTGTATCTTATCTGACTTGTTTACAAGTGGGGAAAGGTGAATGGTTTCACCTCGTTGAATTAAAGTTAATGAGGTATGCATATTTTGTGTCACGATGATGGCCTTTTTTTTAGATATGCAGCCAAAGTTTATAACAGCAATATATTGGCGAGGCAATATATTGCAGCCAACATTGCTATTATAAAATTCATGGCGGGACAGATAATGAAGTAAATAGCCTTTTTCTGAGCACATTTATTAGTTGTGTGCATTCCTTATTCACTAGTTTGCGGTCCGTGCAAAGCACGATATTTTTTTTCTACAGTAATCCCGCTTTTTTTAATATGGCATGATTTGAATTTTTGGAAGTGCTACAGTATCCCGCTCTGCTACAGTACCTTTTAAATGTTACAGTGTACCCGTGTGCTACAGTACTATTTTTAATTAATCATTAGCTACAGTAATGATGCTACAGTAAGTGCTACTATAGCATTTACTGTAGCATGAACAGTGAATCTCTGATCCTCCTATTTGTATAAAGGAATAGATTTCCAGCAACTGTCTTTTTTCAGTTGTGTGCTTTCCATCTGTTTCTTAGCCTTATATTCAATTATGAATTTCTAGCCTTGGTTTCAGTTGTGTGCTTTCTGAGTGCTTTCAGGTGTGTTCCAGTGTGTCTTCATTTCCAGCCTTTCTCATTTTTAGATCTCAATCATGCATACATGCTCAGTTTGAGCTTGCCTTCTGAATTTCCAACAAAGGTCTACTTTCAGCTGTGTGCTTGCTAATTGTTGCTTGTCCTTCGGTTTCAGTCCTATGCTTTCCCAGTTGATGCTTCAGCCTTGGTTTCAGTTGTTTCACCTCATGTGATTTCAGTTGTGTGCTTGCTAATTGATGCTTGTCCTTTGGTTTCAGTCCTATGCTTTCCCAGTTGATGCTTCAGCCTTGGTTTCAGTTGTTTCACCTCATGTGATTTCAGTTGTGTGCTTGCTAATTGATGCTTGTCCTTTGGTTTCAGTCCTATGCTTTCCCAGTTGTTGCTTCAGCCTTGGTTTTAGTTGTGTGCTTGCATGTGATTTCAGTTGTGTGCTTGCTAAGTGTTGCTTGTCCTTTAGTTTTAGTCCTATGCTTTCTCAGTTGTTGCTTCAGCCTTGGTTTCAGTTGTGTGCTTGCATGTGATTTCAGTTATGTGCCATTTTGTGGTTTCAGTTTTGTTGGTTAGCAGTCTGATTATCTGAATATTGGCCCATGTGATTCAGTTGTGTTGTGTTGGCAAGTAGTCTGAATTTGCAGCAAATGTTCAGTTGTGTTGCTTGGGAAATTGATTGAAATGGTTGTTATGTAATTGGGAATTTGCAACCAATGTTCAGCATGCTGGTTTCAGCCTTGCTCTCAGCCTTGATTTCAGCTATTGAACTGTTTGAGTACAGTTGAGTGCTTGCCTTATTCATTTCCAGCAAATGTTTTGTTTTATTGGCTATTGGGCTGGTTTCAATTGTTTGCTTGGCATTTGGTTTGAATTGTTGGCTTCGCCCCAAGTTTCATATGTGTGCTTGCATGTGGTTTCCGTTGTGTGCTTAATTTCTTTTGGTACCAGTTTTGTTCCAACTTGTTTGAATTTCCAGCATACGTTTCGTTGCTTAGTGTGTTGGTGCATACTTGGTTTCCAGGATGCGTTTGCCAGCTGATACTCTGTAGTATTGGCCCTTGGACTTTAGTTCTGTGCTTACTTGTCTTAATTTTCAGCAATATTTTGGTTGTGTGTAGCCAATGAATCAGTTGTGATGTGTTGGTCAGCTATGTGACAGTTTGGCAAGCTTTATACCAATGTGTTTTACCCCATCAGCAGGATTATGTGACAGTTCTTTGTTGGTCTTGTTGCAGAACTTTGTGAATGTGTTTTACCCCATTAGTTGTGTGCTTGCCAAGTGTGTTTCCAGCCAATGTTGGTCTTGGCCTTGCGTTCAGCCTTGGTTTGGTTTCCTTTGTGCTGACTATTTGTGCATTACATGCTGGTTTCAGCCTTGGTCTTGGCCTTGCGTTCAGCCAAGTGTGTTTCCAGCCATTGTTGGTCTTTGGTCTTGTTGCAGTTCTTTGGTTTCATGTTGATGCTTGGCCTTTGTTTTAATTTTGTGCATGGTTTCAACCTGCTCTCGGCCTTGGTTTCAGCTCTTGGTTGGCCTTTGGTTGGTATGCATATTTTGTGTTATGATGATGAGTTATTTTTTAGATATGCAGCCAAAGTTTATAGCAGCAATATATTGGCGAGGCAATATATTGCAGCCAACATTGCTATTTATAAACTTCATGGCGAGGTAGATAATGAAAAAAGAGCCTTTTCTGAGCACAAAATATATTGCAGCCAACATTGCTTTGAGTTCAGTTTTGTGCTAATCTGTTATTCATCATTTGATTCAATTGTGATCATAAGATAATTGATTTTGTTCATAATTTCCATGTTTATATGCACAACTATGATGATGAGTGGTAATCTTACCATGGTGACGCTAATCAAGTTTTCTTGATTTTTTAGTTTGAACCAAACACTAGAAAATGAGGGAATCTATTCACAATTCAATTATTTTCTTCTTTTTTCAAGTTGAACCAAACTAAGAAAAATGGTGGAAAGTACTTTCACTCCATATTGTTTGGCGAAGCAAACACAAGAAACATTTTTCAGGAAAGTGAAGGAAACACTAGAAAGTGAAGGAAAGTCATTCATGGAAAGTGAAGGAAACGAACCAAACAGGCCCTAACGGTGGGTTATTGGTCGGGACAATTTTATCTTTTTGGGATATTTTGAGTGGTGTAAAGTGGGATAATGGGATAATTTGAGCCTTTGATTTGACAATTCATGTGGGATAATTGATGATGTGGCACCTTATTAAAAAATAATTTTATCTATTAATTACTTCTAAATTAACTTATCCAATTGGTTTAGTATATTATTATAATATAAATATTATTGTACTTTATATTAAAATATAATATATTATACTATACTTACAAATTACTATTATTAATTATTATTGTATTATTATATTATATTAGCATGCTATACTATATATAATAATTAATATAACATAATATCAATATATTTAATATAATATTTTAATAATATAATATTTAATATAATACATTATTTTATTTATTCAAAGTGGAACAACATTGTTCCAATATGGAGGATGGGGTAAATTTTTACTATTGGGACAAAATTTTTATATATGAGTGGGATAATTTTATCCCAAGTGGTGTAATTATCTCACTAGTGTTCCAAAAAACCAATAACACAAAAAGATATTATCCTTATTCCATTGTCCCAATAAATAACACTTTGAAATAGAATCCCCAAAATTATCCCATTATCCCCCAAAATATCCCAACCAATAACCCCCTAATTGTGAAGTCACCACCGCAGCCACCTTGATCATGCAAAAAAAAAAAGAAATTCACTCGAATATTTTTCTATGATACTTTCATGCTAATTTTAGAGATTTTTAACTATTAATATTTGTGAAATTGCTATTAAATATAGCTAAAAACTTTTTTTTATCTTAACTCTATTTTAAAATAGAGTTGGGATATAATTAACGATAAATTTAACAAATATTAATAGTTAGGAAGTTACAAAATTAAATGTTAGTGTCATGCGAGAACATCCAAGTGAAACTTTTCACATTTGCATGATCGAGAGTACTAAAATGATATATGTATGTATGTATGTGTGTGTATATATATATATTAGTATGGTGCGCGCGCGTTGCACGTGTACCTATTTCATACTTTTATGTAGATAATAAGT